TTTGAAAACAACTAATGTCAAGCTATTTTCTGACTGCTGAAAATTATGAATACTTGTCTTCTTGTCTACTTGTCTCGAGATCGCTGAACCTAATTTCGCTGTTAGTAGCTCTGCCCCTGCTGTGTCGTGAGCAGCGCGCGACGAAGCTAATCCCACACCAAATCCTGAAAACGATGGGTGCAAAATGACGCTGCTTCCTCTCTTTTTGAAACTTGTCCAGCCATTTCTGAGCCTTTTAATGTCTTCCCTTGAAGGGATCAGCCCTCACTACGCTGTAATCATTCTCTTAAGTTTTGGTCTGGGCGTGACATCTGTGGGGTTAGGCACGCCATAGTAGTCTATTATTTCCAGCATCAAGTCCGTTACGTAACGGCCGCAGACAAAAACAAAAACGCGCTATTTCTTGCGACCAGGCTTCGATAGGGTAGAAAAACTGCTCTTACGAATCATTTTCCCCTCGTTCATGGAAACATGTCGTGTTTTTTTGAAGGGCCCATGTCCGGTACGGTCACTCATTTCCCACACGATTTTCAGGCAACATAAAAAAGCATGCGAACACGAGGTGTCTCGACTCCTTTCAAAACATCTCAACACCGGAGATGTTTTGCGGCATCTCGGCACGGCGAGCGTACTCTGGCCGTGAAAAGACACGGGCCCGCGCGCCCGCCCTCGTCCCCGATCCTACACCCACGGCAGCGAGCGGTGCCAAGCCGACAACGGTGGCAGTGCCTGCATTTTCTCATCGATCAGAAGCGATACACGGCAGCGCGACATGGCGCGTCGGACGCTCCGCCGGGGCCTGCACCAAGCCTGCAGCACTGCAGCGTGCCGCCCGGCCCCTCCCCATCCCCAGCAAGGCCAGCATGTACCGCGACGACGCGGCCGGCTCCGCACCTGCAACCCGGCCGCCGGGCGAGCGGTAACGGAGAACGGGCCGGGCCGCCCCCTGCCCCTCGCCGGCCACGGACCGGCGCGCGCACCGAGCCTGTAGCGTGGCCGTGCAGCGCGGCGCGCCCGGCATTTCCTATCGGCGGCCGGCGGCGGCGGAACGCAGCGATCTCGCGGTCACCGGCGGCGGCGGCGGCGGCGGTTCATGGGACGCGCTCCTCCCTCTCGCCGGCGGGGCGAGCCGGCGTCCCACACTTTGAGCGGCCCCACGCCGCCAGAGAGCCTCAAACACCCCGGCGCCGATACCTTGCGCCGCGAGCGCTTGCCCCGTCCGTTCGGCGGCGGCGCTGCGCCGTCTGCCGCGCCCGGCCGGCCACGCGACATCAATAGTGGGTCATTGACACCGGCCAGCTGACGTCAGCCCGCGTGGCGTGGGCGCGCCAGCTGCGTATGCGCGCGCGCCCGTGCTGGCGCGTGTACGCTGGCCGGCGGGCGGCGGTGGTCGCCGCCGCCGCCGCCGGGTCCGGTGGCACGGCGCACATTATCGACCGATGTGGCCTTCAGTGGAAATCCATAGTGGAGCGGCGGCGGCCGGCGCAGGCGGTCGTCACTGGGCTGACGCCGTGCACCGGCCAACACCGGTGGTAAAAGTGTACTTTTTGTCGCCTACCAAATTTGTTTAGGAAAAAATTGTCGCCAGTAGCGTAACGCGATATCATATGACGAAAGGGTCATTAAGTCCATGCGCAGTAGCGTCACCAGTAATTAGTCTACCACTTCAATTTTCAGCATCATGCACATAACCGAAAGCTTCCATCACACACTGACCTTGGACAAATGTCGGGATCAGTGCTGCTGCTAGGGAAGCAGATGCGCCTGCCCTAGACTATTGAGATAGCCCAATAACAACAGGAGCTTTCTCCCATCCTCGGGACTTGCTGGGGCCTCACGTTTAAACTCGATCTACGGATGGATTTGCTTTCCTTGACCGCAAAAAAGAACGAAGGACCTTGATAGACAGGGCAGCAGAATGCATGACAGATTCCGAACCAGTAGCAAGCGGCACCAGAAATGACGTCAAATATGGGGCCTCCACGAGGCCATGCCCCCTTATGAAAATCCCGTTTGCGCTTCGAGCCCCATCTTAACCGCAATCCAACTATACCCCATACCTTAGGTATACTCAAGCCTGGAGCGACATGTTTCAACTGGTGAGTGCCTTTCGCCGTGTCCCAGCAAGCAAATTGTATCGAAATTTGTCAATAAGATGGGCTAGCTCTTTCTGAACAGGTTACGCGCCCTGACAGGAGAGGGAAGGGTGGGCGATGCCTCCACTCCCCCCCCGCCCCCCACCTCCCTACGATTTTCTGAGGATACCAATGCACGTGCATATTTTCTTTGCACTTGTGAGCATGGCATTGCATGGATGCAAAAATGGTATGTTTCATTGCTTGTTTTTGCTAAGATTGAATTGTAAAATTGTCTTCATGGAACCATTAGCATAATCACCGTTCACATTGCACAAGTGCAGGCTGGGAAGGCAGAGAGCCTACCTTATATGCAGCCCACATTGATAGAAGAAATCAACAAAGTTTGTATGGTGGTGGGATGA